GATTTCGGTGCGTTTGGAGATATTGTATCAGTAGACGGAGAATGCTAACAATACAGTTGATGAGACAGTTTAGTTGATGCATTATAATTGATTTAACATACAGTTTCAACTTCAAACGAAAAGTATGGAGCTTTTATCATTTACATGTGTTGTAAATCAACTATAACATTATTTTAGTAAAAACTAAGTCATGTTACATTGAGATATTTACATGAGACTTAAACTTAGGGGGAAGGAGATGGGAGGTCAAATACTCCACATCTGTATTTGAAATTGCAATAATCATTCCTCCTGATTTTAAAATATTCCGAGAAATGGGTTCTTTTATTTAGGTATCTTAACAACCTGCAATATTCTGTAGATGTAAAGCGAAAACGTGGTTAATATCCATAAGATTGGTATAATTCTATATATTATATATAATTTATATTTATAATTAATTACTTCGCAACTTTGCATCTCTTTAACTTTCTCCCTCTCTCTCTGAATACATATTCAGTCGTTTGAAAACTAATTTCAAAACACCGTTTTTATTTTCGTTGACAAGTAAACCCATAATCCAATTGAACTTTGAACCTTTAGTAGATCAACGACCGCAACAGAATAAAATGAAATGAAATGCACAAACACTGGTTATATACGACCTTAATAAGATAAAAGCATTAAACTAAAATCAAAACTACTATTCTTCCCTTTTTGTGTCTTATTTTGTTTTTTGCAGTCATTGGAAATGAATTTGATGTCAAACTGTACCATTTTATTCTGAGTATTTCAATCATTTGTTTAATATGTATATATATATATTGAAGTCGCCTTGTATTTTAGCTTCTACGTGATAATTATGAGAACCTTAGAACATACATGTAGACTACGCCATTTTAAAATAATTTTCCTTATCATTTGTCATTCAATGGATTCAGTATACTGTGTTAAACAATATCCCAGTATTAAAACTGTAAAAGAACAGAAAAAGTGGAACCAACCTTTACAGACTTGCTCATTTTATAATACATTAAACCAAAATCAATATAAATTGGCACCAAATGGTTTTACTTAGTCTTGAAAACAGTGAGATACTGCATTAATAGAATTGGTTTCGTCTTTCTGTTAAAACTGACTTCTTGTACATCTTCAATCACGATATGATACATTTTAACTTGATTTTTCAATCTCAGGTTTGGATTGGGGAACAGCTTTTCGATTATAAAACAGCGGTCTATTACGTCCGAGAAATGTGTACTGCCAGAGTAGTCGGACAATATATATTTATGATCCCTGTGATTTACTACAGCAACTACAGACCTAAAGCAAAAAGCCTGGACGACTGGATATTGGAATGATGCAATCGATGCTATTAGTATCCCCTATGGACATAAAATATTTCTTAAAAAAAACTCTTTACACTCCCTTTAATCAGTCGCACCACAGAAGTTCATTTCAAATTAAGCGTTACAAGGAATTTATTGCCGACACGCAGTATCACATCAGATAGAAAATATTTGAAATAAAACTTATAACCAGACAGATAACATACTATTTGATGCGAATGTGTGTAGCGAATTTGATAAATAAATTATATAACCAGACATATAGCAGATTTATATAACCAGTATAGTCATATAGACTGTTATATCCATCAAATATAATATTCATTCACACAAACTAGTCAGAGATAAGACAGGACTTCTGGGGCGATTGTTGAGCAATATTCTCAGAGTTTTACATCAGTTGTAAGTTATATCAGTGTTAAACATTTTACCTTTTCTGATATGATGAAAGTGTTAGTATTTTAAACATAAAAACCATCTTTAAATGTTGCTGTATGCATTTAATGAAAGTAAATGGGTCTTTTAGTCAAATTATATCAGTAAATTGAATAACGGAATACCAGTCGGGTAATGATATCCAAAGAGTCCGAAGAAGATGCTCAATGACACCATTGGATGTGTTTAATAATAACTCATATAAGACAATGATTGTTAGATTATAATGGTAACATGTTGAGAATTACATGGAATACATTGTAAACAAGAGGTCAAGGGAAGTTTTTACAATAACAGAATGTATTACACATCGTTATTAACTTACTTAACTTACATTGATTGGAATGGAGTTTTTTATTGAATTTTAGAGTTTAACCACAGCGAACAGTAATGACGTTTGTCATGTCTTTAGTTAAATTTACTGTACAGTATATTAACGTTAATTTCATTAAGAATATAATACAACGTCGCCAAATATCATGATCATCAAATGTCATGAAGGTTAGGGAACCGATTTTATGATATGAATACTGAAAAATGGTACGAATAACATGGATTGAATAAATGAAATGAAATGTATTAGGGTGCACCAGCACAAAAGGTTATATATATATATATATCAAATCAAACTAGCAAAGAAATTATTTAAACTCCGTATAAACCCAATGAAACGTACATGCAGTGACGTGTTTAATGACGGAACTGTTTTAATTAAACGAATTTCACAATTTCATAAAACGCCCGACTTGAAAATGGAATTAACCATTTAAAATCATTCATGATCAATCAGACACTAACCCTGTAGTAACGATGACAGAAACATAAATATAATCTTAGAATAGTAAGCATTTCTACTTTTCATGTTTTATTTAGTCTTTCTTGCTGCTTAAAGTAACAAATCAATTATAAAATTGAGACCAAAATTCCGACTTTTGTAACAGTTCTTAATTTTATGTTTTTTTTTGACATTCATCAAAACGTCATTCCTATTTTTTGAAGACTGTAACGTTTGAGTGTAATCGAAGAATGTGGCCACAAGTGACAAACGCAATATATAGCTTATTGAGCTTATCGAGTTCTCCGTGTATTAAAACGGATTTCTGAAAGAATTCGTTTTGTGAAACCAGTTTTGAAGTCTATAAATGTGTAGTTCCATGAAAGGCAGATGCAGTTTTATTATGACCTAAAATGTAAAGAAGTACAAGAGATTCGTTTGGTTAACAAAACCATACGAATGTAATCTGACGTTTCTACAAGGGCAAGGCTCTCATGGTGTGGTTGCCAACAACTTCACGACTATGTCTGACCAGTGTTTATCATTTCAACATGAAGTTAGGCAGGCCTAATAAATCGATTTAACGATGTGAGGTGACAAGAGTAACTCAGATTTATTTTCATCGGGACAGAAAATCTTTATTACCTAGACTTATTAATCAAATTCTGGACTTTAAAGGTGATAGTGATATATTTTGCAACAAACACAGAAGAATACCAACGTAAGGTATTTGGGTAAGTCATATAATTAGTAAGTAACAACGCAATAGCCTATATGGATCAATTGCACTACATACTTTTTGCATCACCTAACCTATTATTTCAAGTAGACAGCATAAATATTGCCATACTTAACCTCAGCATGAATTGTGGTCTCAGTTTCATTCATAAGACTTATATATTAAGCATTATTTTGTTAGAAGTTGATGTTTACATTTGAAAGGATGGAAACAAATCCTGTTGAACACATGTCAGTTGTGTCCTTGTGATGTACCATAGTTGATATCATACATCATGCTAAGATCTTGCCTGTCATTAAAGACTCTCTGACATGAATAATAATCAAACGATTCTAATTACAAATCCTTAATAAAAGATTGTCTGAAATTAACCATGAATTTTTGATTAAGCTCATGTTTGCACCTGATACTGTACTGTTTGTTTGTCGTTTACTTAAGTATCAAGAACGTTTTCTGAACTTTCAAACATGTGGAACATGGTAAAACAAACATAATAAACGGAAGGTCATCGTTAGGTATCGTCAGGTTTACACAAGGTAAAGTACACGAGAATTCTACGTGCTAGAGATTCGAACCTTAAACACGTAATCACCCCTCGGAGTCACTAGTACTATGTAAGGGTCAATGATAAAAAAATATAAACCAGTTTTCAAGTGAAAGGTTCCCTCAACCCAACCTTTCATTAAAACAAGCATTCGACCTGACCATATATACAATAGAAGATACAATTAACATGAGAAATGTTTTCTTTCTTTTATCAAAACAACGTGAAGTAACAATATGATGTTAGAAAGAGTCGTTTCCAATGAGTTATTTAGGCTACAACCTCATATGATTCTTACACAATGAATTGTCATTGCGATTTGCTCAAATATATTGTTAAGTTTTATACGGCATACATCAACTTTGATCCATGATAATGTAGCAAAATTACTACAGTTAAAGGGACTGGTGGGTCATTTTTATCTCATTCATACTTTATTCTCAGAAACGGGAATTTCTTTTAGCTAAGCCAATAAGTAATAGTGTTAACAGCTCATCATCGAAATTTGAGCCTTCAAATCCATGTGTGTCCAGAATTATCTGCGATCTACTCTGTGATGTATAGTACAGACAGTATAGAAACAGTAAAGTATTTGAAAAGGAATTATGCAATTTTCGTACATTTCTAGTGCTTCTGAAGAATATTTACATAATTAAAGACTCAAATCAACCTCAAAATGGCGCACCCTTTCCTTTAACTGAAATATGTTGGTGACAATTTACTGAAGTATTTGAAAACCTTTATCTGGGTTAGTCACTTTAACGCTAGTCATCAATAAAAGGTTAATTTTCAGGTATTAACATCTTTTTTGCACATCCTTTCGTTTTTAATCGAAATTTCAATTAAACTTAACAATATATTCAATGTAAGACAATCTATGGTGTTAGTCCTTTCACAACTTCAGTTTAATATTAAATCCATGAAATATAATCATAATGATTCCAGATTATATTTTCGGTTTCAGAATGTTATTATTTTACCCATAATATAAAAACAGCTTGATTCATTGATCACTATAACAGTTTTGCGCACAACCACAACCTTTGAACCACAATATTTTGATTTCCGATATAAAATTGCTACAAGTAGTGTTTCCATAAAATTTAGCTCCAAGACCTCAAAAGCACTTACACTATGTGGTCAGTCTCACATATCCAAAAATAAACACCCGATAACTTTTCACAAATATCTTGTATCGACGGGCAACACTGACTGACTGTTCGCTTCAGATGGCGAGTCCGAGTCATTATGGGGCATCTTTTTTAAAATGGGTTTATTCGGTAATCCAGTTGATCCTTGTGAAAAAGACCTTCTTCTGGAATCGCATGTAAGGCTGCTGCCTAGATTATCAGCCCAGGTGACACGATGTGGAGCGTCCTCATTTCCATCCAAAGCGCCACTCATCCTTAAGCGTCTTTCTAACACTTTTTTACGTAACTGTGCCTGTGATTCACTCATAGATCTGTGCCTAAAATCATTGTCATAAAAGCTTGTGTCTTTTATCTGAGCGTACATAATAGCTTGATGATGATCTATACCCGTCCTTGGGGATCGACTAGTCAATAACTTTTTAGTTTTAGTTTTCTCCTTAGTTGAATTATTATGTTTATCATAATTTCCATTTTTATAATTTCCATTTAATACCACAGGTTGCGATTTTCCTTCATGAATTATATTAAAACCACTTTGGAATTTTTTGTTTGAGATATCACCATGGATCCGTGTGTGATCGCCGTCTTTATCCGTTAATAAATTCCGTGATTCAATTTTCCCCATTTCCTCTGGCACCGAAGACAAACTACCGTGTGTTTGTCCACTAGCACGATTCGTTCTGTTATATAGAATAATATTCCATGGCTGTGAATGAACCGAGTAGCGGTAGTTACTATCGATAGTTGAACGCTGTAGTAAACTGATCGTATGGCGATCGAACTGTCTACTCCGTGCCGAGTGAATGGTAACTTCTCTATTTAAACATTCTTTGGCTGGTAGTTTGATTTGACGTGAAGAAGACAGTTGAGGTTGTTTGGGTTGATCATTTGAAATGAATGTAAGTGGCTTATTAAAGTGGCCACCAATCGAACTTGGTTTGTGGTTAGAATAATTAACAAACATGTTGGAGGTGCTGTGCAAATGCATTGTATGCTGTTTCGCAAGTTGATACCTAGAAATAAGCTGTTCTTGTTTTGTAGTTGGTGGACGAGTATAATTTTGATTGTCACGTTGTTCAGATTCAGAAGTCTCTCTCAAATGCAGATGTTTCTCTGGTACGTGTTCAAATGTTGATTTTCTTTGTTGCGATGTTATTGAATGAGATACTTGCTGGTTACTGTGTGGCTGCAGACTGGTTAGGTGTTGTTCCCCTTGCTTTGTTTGTCTTCCCTCGGCGCCAGTGATATAGTCTAATTTCCATACAGTGTCATTCATGGTGGCTTCTGTTAGAATCAATTACCATTTACTGCCAAATCTACAAAGACATATTTAATCTATTATTCTATTATTTTGAATTCTTTAGTGACATTTGTTTTCAAGTTCTTAAATCTCGTCAAGTAAACTTGAGAATTTTTAATCAAATTCTCCAGGATAAGTTCATGACTTTTCTGCCCAAGTAGATTGACCACGCCAAGGGCAGTAAACTCAAAAACTGTTCATCGAAAAATCCCCAAATTCACACTTGACCAAGATTTCGTGAATATAAATCATCACACCAAATCTCAGTAAAATCAGATAAAAACTGTAGTCTCTATAGAGCTCACAAGAAAGTTGAACGGATAGACGGACAGGGGAAATGGCAATATACGTGTCCATATGGCCGTATAAAAACTGTAGATACTTATTTGTTTTCGAACTGATGTGGGATCCCGATTGGGACTAATCTATCGTTCAATCCTCATTGAATGCATCTCCTTTGACAGGAGGAAATCCATACGTCATCCTAACCAATTCTGAGACCGAAACACAAATTTTACGATCGCCAAGTTTTTTTTCATTAACTAAAACAATCGATAATAAAAGATGAACATAAATGTTTCAATTCGACCAGGATCGAAAATTAACAATAATTATAAACGATTTCAATGTTCAGAAATCTGAGTAATATGCACGCTAGATCACTACTGACATTACTTTCAGTAACAACAAAGTGGTTTTAACCTATAAAGAACAGTTAAAGAAACGTCGCAAAGCACATAAAATAGTGAATTGTTTATTCAAATTTCAATAAAACAATATATAATTATCAGAAAACAACCACATTTGGCACAACGGATTGTTTGAGTGTCTTTCAAGTTTTTGCTATGACATATCAAGGTTCTGATCACTTGATCTTTACAGATAGAGGCTGAAAGTCAGTATCTGATGTGTCCACCTTGTGCGTTGATGACAGCCAGTCATCATCTGTACATGGAGTGGCACAAACGATTTAGACGCCATTGGAATCTGCGCCCAGACTCTTAGGAAAGCTGCACTGAGTTCTGATGCATTTCTTGGAAGCGATTGGATCTGGTTTAGTCATCTTTGGATGCTATCCCACAAGTGTTCTATTGAGTTTAAGTCCGGACTGAGTGAGGGCCATGGCATTACTCCGTTATGCTGTTGGGGGAAGGTTCTGGTGGCTATGGCTGTGTGTGGACGGGCGTTGTTATACTGGAAGGTGTGGTACAACGTGGGGCCGGAGAACCTGGTTGATTAAACGGGCGGCTATGACTGGATATTTTGGAAGACAACAGGTCCAAGTTTCTGATTGATGCCGATTGCATCCCATACAATAATGCTTGATCCTCAACCACAAACTGTTCTGTAAAACGTTCACCTCTTCTTCGCCTCACTCGCACTCTGCCATCTGCTGTGGAATGCAGAACCGACTCTCATCTGGGAACAGGTGTATTCCCCACTGCTGATGTCACCAATATTGTCGTTGGGTAGCCCACGCAAGACGTTACTGACGATGATGGGGACTGAGCACCGTACCCCTGTAATGACGGCGACAAGACAGGTTTCGGGAAGCGAGCCGATTACGAACAGTATCAGCACTGATGGGTTGCTGATGGTGGCCAATAGTCTGACGAGCTCTCTGTGCCGCTGTGGTGAATCTTTCATGCAGATGTTGCCGCAGGATTTGCGATCTCGTCTTGGTATTGTGACTCAGGGACGGTCATCAGTGCTGTTGTTGGTTTTGTAACGAAGTCTCTCAATGGTTCGTACTCTACAGTTAAATGCATTGGCAATGACTTGAACACGTTGTCCGGCATTTAATCGTCCGATGGCTTGTTCACGTTGTTGGGATGTTAGACGTACCATGAGCTTGCTGTCTTCACGGCAACTGAATTCTCAGTAGGCGCCAGTTTGTTTTTATACAGGACTTTGGTACGTGTTGCACGTGCATTTCGTTTTTTCTCCGCATCATTTACAACTTACTCCTACTGACATCTGAGAGTTCCCCAGGTTCACAACTCTCAAATCGAACGCAACTGATATTATAAGTTGAATGTGATAAACTGAACTTTTTTAAAGTCTAAAATCATATTTTTAAAGAAAAATAACAGTTTTGATCGTGCATGACTTTGTCCAAATAATCTAAAAATGCGACGTTTCTTTATCTGTTCAGTATATTTATAAAACACGAAATAGAGGAGTGTCAACAACAAGTTCCTCCGCAGTAAAGTACAGCTAACAAACTTAATTAAGTTTGAACTCAACTAACAAGAGTTCTAGATTTTTTTATTCGGTTGGAGCATGTTAACTTAATTGCCTATCAACAATTTGTTATGGAAAAAGGATCGGGTCTTGATAAAACACCAATCCTTCACGTTATCGTTCTCCACTTGGAGCGAGTCTTAATTAAGTTGTCAAAGACAAAATCAATAGGAGAGGAGAAAAAACCCTTATATGTAATCTACATTCTAATCAAATGTCGCAAATATGCCAAGGTTCCAATTAAGCGAAGAACAGCTAATGCACTATGTGAAAATAAAAAGGTGTGGATGTAAATGGCCTGCAGGATTGACCTTATTAAAACGGAAATGCCAGAGACACTGTAAGGAATGACCCGCTGACGTTATAGTCTTTTACATAATCTTTCACGCTGACCTATCGTGTTATGATCTTGACATGTACATATGGAGTTTTCAGTTTGTCAGAAACTTTTATGTCAAACTTGTATCACCAAAGATAGAAAATACTACAGGTACATAGCAAGGAGTTTTCAGAAATATTCATTATTATTATTCTCCTCATTACGAAGGTGATACCCATATTCGCACATGTTCTCAATCATAAAGGCATGAGTCTCATTTGATATAATTTATAAGAATATATCAAACCTACAGAACGTGTATCTTGTTAAGTCCTGTGTATGCTCCCGACTTCTCTTTCAACGATCGGTATGCTAAATGCCATTCAAAGACTTTAGACGGTATGCACTGCAATTGTTGTTACATACACATAAATTATTATTCTAGAGACGAAATCTTTGTACAAATTGAATTGATGAATTAACTTCTCGTGTTGCTTAAAAAACACCACATTAGCATTAGACCTTTTTTCTAATGGCGATGGATGCTCACAATTTGGTCTAGAAAACTGAATTGAAGTATACCTACCTATTTTTAAAAAAGTCACACAAAAAGTTAATCGCTTTCTCAAATCACTCTAAATGTCTACGTCCAGTAGATAAACTTATAATGAATGATGAGCACAAGCTTCATAGAAGTGATTTAACATTCCCTTGTCGTCATTCATTCATAATCACCATGAATAATTAATCAGTTCCCTGTGAATACAGTGAACTTATTCAATTATTAATCACACTACGACTCCTGTTGAGCAACGTTTCTAGTTAAATACCTCAATAAAACAACATGCCATCATTATTCTCTATCTACTTCGTATAATCTGATCCTAAATTTTAATGGGGTTATGAACAACTTGACATGTAGTGAGACAAACATATTTTATTTCATTTTTAACATTTTATAATCGCCTATATATTTAATCATTAATGTTGTTTTGGCGACTAAATGGCGTCTGAAATACATTGCAGTAAGACCAGCTGAAAACGCGGTGTTGAGGTAACCGTCCACTAAAATTGAAACGTCCCCATTATTTGTGTGGCTATAGGAGCGATCGATAAACAAAAGTAGGTATTCCATCCCCTGATTTGATTTTGTCATGAGCAGTAGATTGTTGTTTACTGGAATAATCTCGCAAACAATGGTAATTTCAGTAAAACATAATGGCTGTATAAATGAACTGCAATAAAAGAGAGATATGTTATTGAGGTTGATGTGATTTTGATCCCAGCTAGTGATAGAAGTAATATAAATGTACCATAAACTCTCTTGCAATCACACTTATTTGACTATAAACTTGAATATTATCCCTACTTTCTGGTTTTTAATCATTAAACTGTAACCTTAACCAACAGTGACTATCATCTTTTAATTTAGTACTTGGATAAAAATTAAATATGAAGAATTAAACGATAACGTTAGTGCATAAGTGAAATCCGACTAGCTTAGAAAGACCATCAACAAAATAAATAGGATAGAAGATATACAAGCCACATATATCTCAGACTGTACCAGATATCTTAATAACCATTTGACAATAATATTTCTTTACTGTGACACATTTAAACTATTGGAATGTTCAATATTCAGGTTATACAAATACAAAGAGGACCATCTCCGTTGTCTCCAATCGGTTCCATACAGGGAATGCTTCCTCTTCTCATCACTTGGCGCCACTTTTCATTGTCAAATTATAACATTTGTGATCAGTTCCTTCCCTTCAACTATTGAATTTAATTTAAGTTTTCATGGGTTTCACCCCTTAAACTTTTTAAATTAATTAACAAGTCACTATTTTTGTAAGTTTCTTGTGTATGAACATGGCTATGACGAGTGTGGCGCCAGGCAGTGTATGCTTAGCCTTCTAGATACCCGATATCACTTTTCATTATGAAACACTTACTCATGACCATATTCTTATGTTGTTTCAATGACCTTTAGCAATAAATCACGCTACGTATCTTATTTTGTCAGTCACTATTTTTTTTAAGATTATGGTTCTTTGAAGGAATTGTCACTAGTTATAATGAATTGATATTAAAGATAAATACTGAGAGAAGTTATACCACCCGGTATCCATACAATGTGTTTTTCTCGACTTATTTATAGATCAAACATTGTACACGAAAATAGGTGACGCATTCTGCCGCCGTTGCCGAGTTGGTTGCTCATGAAATATGGGTCAAAGTGAAGGATTCATAAAGAAAATCGAAATAAACCAATTTTAATCATTTTGTAGAATATCTGAGGAAACATCTAAGACATAAAATTTTTTGACGAAATTCGTTGTTGAATCCTTATATCCACGAAAATAGGTTACACCACTGTATATATGCTTTTTTACAGCGTCAACTGGAT